TGCAGTCCGGATGTGACGTCCACTGACTTCCACCTTGGAAGTCTGAGAGGTGAGCACCGCGTCTGGGAGGCCGGCTTCAGGTCGGTAGGAGAAAGGAGCCCAGTCCGGCAGAGATTCGAGGTACGACCCTGAGGGAGGACTGATGCCCCCCCCTAGAGTCCAGGGTGCCCCCACTGTCAGCACGGAGAGTCCCCGGGGCTGCTGGGCCGTCGGGCTGAGCGCTAGCCGTTGCCATTCAACGTCCCGCCTCGTCGGGGAGCTCAGCTGTCAAGGGCCAGGCCTGAGGGGAGCAACCTGAAGCCTGCAGTGAACAGGGGGCCTAGTTCCGCCCCGTTAAGGTGGGGAACAGAGAGGGAGGGCTTCAGACTCCAACGGAACCTATGTCTACCCCTCGTGATGGCCCTGGGGGGCGGGGGGGGGGAACCCCAGAAGTGCAGTCCGGATGTGACGTGCACTGACTTCCGCCCCGGAAGTCAGAGGTTTCGGCCGCGTCTGGGAGGCCGGCTTCGGGTCGGAGCAGGGAAGGAGCCCAGTCCGGCAGAGATTGAAGGTACGACCCTGGGGGAGGACGGAGGGCGCCCACAGAGTCCAGGCTGCCCCCGGGGTCAGCACTGAGAGTCGCCGGGGCAGTGTTGTCTGGCGCACAACTGTTCCCTGGCAACCCACCCAGCCCACGCCCACTTCGAACCTTCGCACAGAACTCGGAAAGGCACAGAAGGTCTGAGGGTAGCAACCGCAGGTTGGCAGGGGGCGAGGCTCCCACTTTGCCCGAAATAAAGGTGAGGACCAGAGGGAGGGTTGCGGGACCCCATGGAATCCATCTCAGCCCACGCCAACAGCCCTTGGGGGCCCGATATGATGCCCACACACTTCACCTGGGGGTCTCAGGGGCTCGGTCTCTGGTCAACACAGCGAGGTTCCCAGGACCTACCAGGGCTCAATGTGAGGACCATGAGGGATCCTAGACACCGGAACAGTCGGTCCTGGGAGGCCTGGAGGATGGAATGACCGCACACGTGTTTTCTGACTCCCGATGTGGGTCAGAGACACTCTGGGGACTTGGTATAAGGAGAGGGGCCTCCAGTCAGCAGACGTAGGGCCTGGGACCTGCCAGAGTCAACGTGAGGACCCGGAATACCCTGAGGGAGGGCTGAGATGGAACAGAGATGGATTCTAGGCCCTGCACTCAGTCTCTGGAAGTCTTGGAGCAGGGTAACCAGATGACATGATTCCTGCCTTCTGCCTTGGGGGTCTTCTGAAGGTCAAGGCCTTGGGCTGAGTGTGGCAACAAGTAGACAGCCAATGGGGTCCAAGGACCCTAAAGGAGGACTTAGCAGACCCCCACCCCAGACACAGGGGACCCCAACACAAACTTGCCCCTGTGGTCTGTCCTGGGCACCCGGGCATAACGTCAGGAGGAGTAGCCTCCCATTTCTTGACGGTGGCCTTGGCCTGCAAGGTGCATCCTCAGGTCAGTAGAGGGATAGTTCCAGGCCCTGCCAGGAATAAATACAGATACCTTGAGGTAACTGAGGGGACTCCCACCACAGACGGAGGGGCCCCAAGGAAATCGATCCTGCCCCTGTCATCCCTGAAGTCCCCAAGCAGGGATGGCTGCAGGTGGTGAGGACCCAGCAGTCTCCCCATTCCAGGATCCCTAGGAGACCCTGAGCAGGTGTAGCCAGATGTGGGGCCCCCTCACTTCCTTCTGCTCAGTCTCAGCGGTGTGTGGTCTTGTTCTTCGAGTTTTGTCTCAGGCCAACAGAGGTGGGTAAGCAGGCCCTGCCCGGAGACAGGTGAGGACCCTGAGTGAGCATGGAGGGGGTCACCCAAACAGAACAGATGAGACCCCACAGCACCCAGTCCAGCCCCACCATACCATCAGCCCCAGAACCTCAGGCTATGTCACCTGCACCCTGAGGAGCTGTCGGGCTTCTTCAGGTGTTTGGAGGACAGGCTGCCCAGGAGGGGAGACCCCTGTGAGGCCTGAGAGTACCCTTAAAGAGGAGACCTCTAAGTTGCCTTTGTCCAAGCCACCTAGGGTGGATTTCTCAGCCGAAGCTGCTCACACTCCCTCTCTCCCCCAGGCCGGTGGGTCCCTATCACCCACCTTCTGCCCACACCTGTTGCTGTCCCGACGAGTCATCATGCCTCTCGGTCTGATGAGCGAGCTCTCCAAGCTCGGAGAAGACCATCAGGACCCAAGAGAGAACCCGGGCCTGCTGGAGGCACAGTATTTTTGGGATGAAGACGACGAGGAGGAGGAGGTGGTGGAGGAGGAGGAGGAGGAGGAAGAGGAGGCCCTGTCTCCCTCCTCTTCCCTGTCTTCCTCCCTCTCTGTCCTGTTCCCCGACTTCCTGGAGGAGGTGGATGCGGCTGCGGTACCAAGTCCTCCCCAGAGCCCTGAGGGTGTCTGCCTCATGCCCGCTGCCATGGGGTCCCCTCCCTGGAGCCAATCTGAAGATGAGGGCTCCAGCAGCCAAGATGAAGGGGGTCCGAGCAGCAGCGAAGACTCAGAAGATGCCGAGTCCTTGCTCCAAGACGCCCTCCGTTTGAAGATGATCGACCTGGTGGTCTTCCTGCTCCTGAAGTATCGCGAAAAGGAGCCAACCACAAAGGCGGAAATGCTGAGCAGTGTCATCAAAGAGTACCAGGACCACTTCCCTGAGATCTTCAGCCTCGCTTCTGAGTGCCTGCAGCTGGTCTTTGGTGTTGATGTGAAGGAAGTGGACCCCAGCAACCACTGCTATGTCCTGGATACCACCCTGGGCCTCACCTACGACGAGATGGGAAACGATGAGGGCAGCATGCCGAAGACCGGCCTCCTGATCACGCTCCTGTGCCTGATCCTCCTGGAGGGCGACCGCGCCTCTGAGGAGGAAGTCTGGGAAGCGCTCAATGGCATGGGGGTGCGTGATGGGCGGGAGCATTCCATCTTTGGGGAGCCCAGGGAGCTCATCACCAAAATTTGGGTGCAGGAAGAATACCTGGAGTACCGGCTGGTGCCCAACAGCTGTCCTGCCCGCTACGAATTCCTGTGGGGTCCCAGGGCCCACGCTGAAACCAGCAAGCCGAAGGTTCTAGAGTATCTGCTCAGGGTCAATAGGAAGAATCCCATTTCCTTCCTGTCCCTATTTGGAGGGGTTGACAGCGATGAGGAAGAGGGAGCCTGAGCCACAGTTGTAGCCAGGCATTTTTAGGCCCATGTCCAGCATCATCTGCTGGGCATAAGTGAGGCCTTGCGTTTGGGGATAGCCATCAACATTCTAGCTAGTGAGAGCCAGGGCAAGTTGGGGTAACATGTAGCATCTTTGGGCTCCTATGAAAATTTAAAAATTGATTTTTGGGATTCTTTGGGGGGATTTTTTTTTCAAATTTTCCTATAAATAAAAGGTTTAATAACCTTCAGCACCTAAGTGTGTGCATAACATCGACCGACCATACATGTATCTGTTCCAAGCAGTTCAAGAGCGAGAGGTTTGCTATTGTATAACACAGATCGAGACACCTTCCATCCTAGTTTCTGATCCTGAAGTAGATAACATGACATTGGAACAGGATTTCCTTGGAAATGTGAAAGAATGTAGCAATGCAATTGATGTGGTCGAGAAATAGCGAAATAAAAGTAAAACCTTGTTAATTCCTGCATCTTCTCTTTTCTCGTCCGCCATTCTGTGAAACAATTGTATGTTCGTGCATAATAAAGGGATGGGAATGTAGGAGAAATTAAATTTGAATAAATAAGACTTCTGCTCACTGACTCATTTATTACACAATCATTAATTAGGCATTGGCTCTCAAAGGAAGGCCCTGTGTTAGTGGTGGGGACACTAAGATAAGCAGGAAACACCCACTCATAGAATGATCATGTAGGAGCTGCAGTCATATAAGGAAGGTGCTGAGGTGTCCCCCAAGTCCTACAGAACAAGTAAGAGAAGGGAAGATGTGGTGGGCTCCAGAGGAGAGCACTCAAGTTTAGATGGCCTGAGGTAGGGCAGTTTGGGGCCTCGGGAAACTGTGCTTCCCTCTGTGGGGGCTGATTGTAATGAAGCTGGGTGGTGGCCACTGCCAGGGTCAGCAGATGATGTGTCTTGGGATCATGACAGAAAAGCCTGGAATGGAAAACTGCAAACTTAGCAGTTATTTTGGGGATAGTAGATAAACCAGAGAGCAATCTCCATCTGGGACAGACAGGGACGGTGTCCTATACTCTTGTCCCAGTGCAGTTGACAGCATACAAACTAGATGTTTCGTACTGATCATCTGCAAGGTTTTGTGGAGAAATATGGTGATATTCCTTTTAAGTGGTTACCAGAAGCCTCCAGACTGACATTCTTTTCCCTGGCCATGGAAAGCTAGATACAGTGCACTAAAAAGATTTTTTAATTACTTTGTCTTGAGTGTAATTCGCACAGTTCTAAGCGAGGGCTAGATGTTTGGTGGGACTCGAATGAAAATTATGGTTTGAATATAAAAGCAACTGGGAAGGAAAAAGTTGGGCTTTGATTCAAATTCTAGGAGCTTTGAGTTGCATCAGACCCACTTACTTCACAGGTGAAGAACCTGAGGCCCACAGGGCCTGGTAATTTTCCCAGGACCACATGGCCAGTAAGTGACAGGGCAGAGATTCATCTGGAATTCATCTGGAATCCATGCTGTTCCCATCCGTCCCAGCCTGTGGCTGACCACCTGACTTGTAAATCATTTCTCAGTACTGCATGATGTGTCTCAGGCGATAAAAAGAGGGACCCTGTGGTCAAGGTACTAAAAGTAGGCCTAAGGAAGGAAGGTGACAATGCAGATACTGTCTGCGTCCATTATTTACCTAGGGTCTTCCCAGGGTTCCTTGAGAGCCACGGCGCTGGTGTTTCTGTCCAGTCTCAACACTTTCCCAAGTGACAGGGCCCTTCCCCTGGTCTTATCTTGTGTGCCTTCCTGTCCAAATCTGGAACCTGGCTTGCTGACCAGCTCATCACTGCTGCCTCCTCTGAAGGCTATGACCACTCCCAGTGGAATAGCCCAAAATCTGTCTTTATGCCCCCAGACATAAAGCATTTATACTCTTTGCTGAAGTCCCCTGGCTCTCTTGTCCCACTGCCCACCTACATCAACAGCCCCTTCCACATAAAAGTTGACATTGGACAACAGTTTTTAGACATCTGGTCATGCCTCCTGGGTATCTTCAATAAACTCTATGTTTTCCAGATGAGCCTATGAGCCTGATTCGGCCCATAATCTACCAGTTTGGGGATGTAATCCTGCAGTTAGAGAAGGTTTCTAAAAGTGCCCAATATTTACAGTAAGATTTCAGTGGGATGTCTTATTGGAATCTGGCCCCTGAACACACAGATGAATCAGCTTACCTAGGTGGTCAAAACCCAAAGCCTCCTTTGTGAGTGGTGAATGAGAAAAGACCATGGAAATCGCTGTGGAGAAAGCATCTATAGAGGCTAAATTCCCCCAAAGCTGGAGCCCCCTCGTTGGTGAAAAATAGTTTCTTGGTCGCCACGTGTGCCCTAATTAAAAAAGAAAAAATAATTATCTATCCTTATACTGTTTTTTTTTTTTGTCTGTGTATCTGTCCCATAAGAAAACGATTGTTTCCAGTGTGCCTAATGGCACCAATAAAGGAGTTCAGGTATGTT